TTTTTCTCTCTTTTCTCTAGGGGGCCATATTCCTCTTCTTTGCTGGTCGAACTGAGGAAATCAAAGGGAACATTGATGAGGTGTGTCAAGAAAACATTGCTTGATTGCACTTCTTGAGGGTATGAGGAGCATTTATGATACGTCACTTGCTGTGGCAGTGTTTCTATGTTTTTAAGGAAATGAGCTCCAAGAAACCAGCGCCCAGTGTTAATATTAAATGTACAACATGCCTTGTCACTGTCCGTGTTCTTCTGCTCTACGGTTTAATTTCTCTGCGCTTCCAGGCAGTGAAATTCTTTGAAGACGGCTGTAAGGCCCAGCAGACATGGAAGCAGTTTCACCACATGTGCTACTGGGAGCTGATGTGGTGCTTCACGTACAAGCGTGCGTGGAAGATGGCGTACTTCTACGCTGACCTGCTGAGCAAGGAGAGTCGTTGGTCCAAGGTACAGAAATTATGACGGGAGAAGATCAGAATAAAATTTATGGTCAGACATTTTGAGGATTTAATACCTGAATCCTTTCTTTATGGTTCTCCCTGTTAGGCCATGTATGTGTACATGAAAGCTGCTTACCTCAGTATGCTGCCTAAAGATGAGGCCAGGCCTTTTGGGGAGGACGAGGTAGAACTCTTTAGGTAAGCAGGGATTATATCCTTATTCCTCTTTACCAGTATAGATGCTGTGAGGTGAGCGGTATAGTTCACGTAAATGTCTCTGTGCTTTTTGCTTACAATACAGACAATATTTAAAAAAACATAGCTACTGTGATGGCATCCTCTGCTTTCTGTTGTTCTGTTTTAAACAGTTGGGACCAGCATTTCTGCCGTCGCCATCTTGGTTGCAAAAAAATAACTAGACACAATAAAGAGGGACGTAGGTCACTGCGTCACATTCATTGGTTTGTGAATAACAGGTCCTTAACCAATGAGCATGTGGTTTCGTACAACAGATAACCCTCCATTCTGAAACATGACATGCCTAAAAACAGAATTTTATTTCTTCAATAAGTAATATTACCACAGGTATCGCCATCTGGCGCTTTCAGTTAGAATACAGGTTTCAGGCACTTTGGTTATTGGTTTCATTTTTCACATGGATGAACACCGTGGTACATTTTACAGCTAAATGGGAGGGATATTTTTCCTTTAGAATATGAAGAAGACCAAACTTTGATGTGAAAATGTTAATTAGTGTCTTCCTACAGATTGAGTAGGCACCAGTTTGTGGAAGCCAACATGTTGCCCTGCCATCTTGAATACAGTGGCCTGGATGGACATAGCTATTCCACTTAATCGTGTTTAATCACATATGTGGTTAGAGACCATCCACATATGTAGCAAAGGAGAAAGGAACTCACAGGTTTCTTGAAAAACGGAAAGGAAAGAGACAACATGACTGGCATCTGAATAAAATCTTATCCTCTTCCTCCTTACCTCAAGCCTCATCTCCTGATCTCACGTCAGGGCTTTAACAAAGGAAAGCGTGAAATGACATTCTTATTTATTCCCAATATTGTTGCAATTAGTTATTGTCAGCAAATAGACATGCACTCGTCAAATCTCCAGACAGCTAACGACAAAACCACAAACCAAATCACAAAAACATCTTGTCGTTAGCTAACATTATATTAGCTGGTTATAAGCTAACATTAAGCCAGCTAATTATTGTCAAACTTTCCCTCTGATAAAAAGAGATTACATTCTTACATCACATGGGAGTTTATTTGCTAAGTCCAACAATGTTAAATCCATGTCAAAGAAATTTTCACTACTAACACTAACTAACAGCAGCTAACAGCGGCTAATAGTGGTAGCCCTCAGTAACTCACCTCCGTATCGCAGTCACTGGAAAGAAGTGAGCTTCGCTGGTCAATCGATTTTTATCCTTTCACAAAGTCTTGTAGCCTACTTTACAATAAATGGACACGGACACATATTGACAGCTGAGGTAAAAAGCAGAGTAACAGCCTACACTCACTACGATGCCAAACAGTCACATGGTGTACTTAGTGACTGAATCATTCGTTGGTGTGTCTTTGTATATCCCCTGTCATTTTAGACAAGTGCCCACCTTGAAGCAGAAGATAGCGGGGAAGTCTCCTCCAACGGAGAAGTTTGCAATTCGTAAAGCCAGACGCTACAAGCCTGCCCTCCCAGTCAGGTTACCTGTACCAGTGCTGGTAAGAGTTACGAAATAAAATAAACACATATAACGACTGCTATGTTTGATTAAAAGAGCGTCCCAACAATATGAACTGCTTCATTACAGGAAATGATGTACATGTGGAATGGATTCAGTATGATCAACAAGACACCAGAGCTAACTGAAGGCATGATGCAGACGTTGGTGGAGGCAGAGCGCTCTCTACTGGAAGCTCCTGGTATTGCTGCCCTTTTCCAAACTGAAACAGGAACACGCAGTTTTTCATGTTTGCTCATGGTGTCTGCTCCGTCCCCTGCAGTAAACGAGTACACAGTGGACGACCGCTGTGTGATCCACATGTTGAAGGGCCTTTGTTTGAAGAATCAAGGCCTCCTCCAGGCTGCTGAGGAGTGCTTTAACAAAGTGTGTTCCAGGTGAGCTCTAGCAGAGTTTCAGACGCAGGCAAGTTATTTCCTGCTCACAGTGAAAGCAGTTTCTTCAGAATCGATTAATCTTGTGTGAACAAATGAATACCAGCCTTTCATTGCAACGTTTTTTTGGCAACACTGGTTAACACACTGTGTTTTCTTGAATTAGTGGCAGAAGAGGGAGTACTTCAGAATCTTACTACTTTCTTCTACTAAAACCTGTAATACAAGCTTTTTACATCAGTGTTTTCTCTGATTTTCCAAACATTGCATAAATTCTGCAGGTCTTCCTTTTAAAACGTATCAGGGTAACTCTTCATTGGACGTCCTTTCAGTGCCCTGTTTGTTTTGCAGCCATAAAACTCTCATCTCACTACGTCACAGTGTGAATATTTGCGTGGCAATCAAGAAGGACTTCCAGCTTAAATTACACTGACAGTCCTCATGAGAGACATTTGTTTATTCACCAAATTGGTCAGCCACCTGCAGCACAACCCTCAGCCTTCCCAAGGATGCCACATTGAGTACAGTGCAGGATCAACATCATAGCCTATGTCTTAAATGAATGTCCGTGTTGAATGAATATTTAACTCGCTTCTTATTGCAGTGAAAAGAAGATCAGGTTTGACCACTACTTGGTGCCCAACTGTCTCGTGGAGCTCAGTCTGCTTTACATAGACCAAGGCAGAAGGGATGAAGCTATTAAAATACTGCACAAGGCCAAGTAAGTTACTCCTTCAGTCTTCACTCTCCACATTATTGTGAGACTGCAGCATTCTGTTTTGAATATAAAAGTTTGCACTACTTTTCTACCATTTTAGCGGCACTGGCAGGGAGCTAGAACCTTATTCAGCTGGCTTTCAACTGAACAAGCCCACATAGTGTGCCTCACATAGCCACGCGTTTTTGCTTCCATTTGAGTTCAGTCTGAGCAGATGATGAGCCCAGCTTCACTTTAGTGCCAATGGAATGTAAATGAGTAGTAAATGACACTAATTAGTTGGACGGAAGTTTAAAGTGCTGGCATGCTGCACCACAAAACAAAATTAGGTATACACTCGCTGGTCAGTTCATTAGGTACACCTTGGGTTGTCATGATAGCGGGTACGTAGCAGTCATAAAGGACTGGGCACAGTGTGCCAAGATAATATCCTCAGCAAAATTATGTCACAATCAGCCTGAACTGTTAATACAAGGCAGGGTGGATCCATGCTTTCATGTTGTTTATACCAAACGTGACCCCACCTGAACGCTGTACAAGAAGTCGAGACTCATCATACTTTATTCCGATCTGCTATTGTTCAGCTTCAACGAGCTCATGTGAACTCAAGACTAGCTGACAGGAGTGGCAACCCAGTGTGGTCTTCTGCCGTTGTAGTCCATCTGCATCGAGCTTCAACACCATGTGTGTTCAGAGATGCTCTTCTGCATACTTTGGTTATAACAAGTGGTTTTGTTATTTTATTTTATGGTGTGTTAGTATTGTAGTTGGTAGGTTATCTTGGCGTAGTGTAAAATCGAAGCACTACAAAACAGCTCGTGTGTATCCAAAAGTAAACAAAATTAGTGTACTTGTAAAACTCACAGAATCCTGAAATGCAAAATTAGGAAAATGATGTTTTTTAGGGGTTATTTGCTAAAAATGGAACAAGTTGTGCCAATTCAGACTGCTTTACCTTCATGTGACACTGCTTTAAAATGTTCTTCCTTTTTCAGCTTCTACTCAAATTGTCCATCAAAAATTTCTATATTGGTAAATATTGTGATATAGCGTTCTGTCATCCATGCCCAGTATCACCTATATTTTTATTATAATTAAAATCTGTCTTAATTTCATGTCTCTTAAATAGGACTGCAGTAAAATGGTTGTTAGCAACTGTAGGGAACACTAGAGGTCACCCTATCCCTGTGTAAACATGTACGATCCATTAACTGATAATGACTCCAGCTCTTCAAGCGTGATCCTCTTTAAGGGTGCCGATGCCAAACACTTTTATCCATTTCTCATCCATCTGCTTGTACTTTAGAAACGTGCATCCAACAGCAGCATATAATGTGTATGGCAAGTTAAGTTTCATTGCAGGACACGCCTTTACCACGTCTGCTGTTCTGACTTACAGGCACAACTACAAAGACTACTCCATGGAGTCTCGCACACAGTTCAGGGTGCACGCTGCTCTTGCCAAACTCAAGGCTGATCCCGGCGAGGATGATGACACCCACCTCTAAGACTGCTCGGGCTCCTTCCGCTGGAGTCTCCGATTCCCCTCACAGTTACAGCTACTTCAGTTTTTGACCAAAGTGCCTTTTTCAACAAGTGTACACTGGGTATGGTATTGCTGTGGTCAGGTTTACCTTTGTGTGATCATATGCACTCCACAATTTAAGCTGAACAAAGGTGTAATCTGTAGAATATTTGTCAGTGAGGCACAGCTGAGGGACCTTTAATTTCACCACCTTCCACAGGTTAACACACACTTACCATGGTTTTATTGTTTACACTGATAAACACCAAATCTTAAGCAATTGGAAGCCACGAGAAATATTTAATAGAATGAAAACCTAATGAAATGCAATGAATTTATTTTACTGTTCTAAAAGAGCTCTGTGTAATATGCAGTAGTCACTCCTGTGACGTCTAAGTACTACGAACCCTAACACATTAAAATATATTTGGCTTCTGAAAGTAATGTTTCTCCCAAATGTGGACTTTTTTTAAAATCTGCATTCCTACAGACACACAAAAACTTTAATTTACCCTCAAAGTTTTTATTTTTCCCCACCAGCGAGTTTGGGTTGGTGTTACTTCAACTTGGACCTTACAGGGTTAGACGCTGCTACTGCCACAGGTTTGGTAGTGTACGAGGTGTTGAGATGGCTAGAGCATTTCATGTGCAGCTGCACAAACATATTTTAGACAAAGATAACGAGCATGAAGGAGGACTGGCTCGTGCACTGCGGGCCCATTCTGTACGGGTGCAGCATAAGAGCACGGCAGAGCCAGTGAGGCTAAACTACGGCTTACTGCTGTTCACACTCAGCGCGTCGGTGCCGAGACACGACGTGCGCTTTTCAGAAAACTTGAGTGTAAAAATTATTTTTGTATAAATAAATTGTTCTCATGGATATCTGCAATCATGAAAATTGCTGAACTTGGCCTCGTGTCATGTTTTAAACACACCCACACCATCTGTGCAGAGGTTGAATTTATCTGGAGCAGTCCTGAAAAACTAAGTTGAAAGTTGGAATCGTCACATCTTCACAGAAGGACAAAACTTATTTTTAGCCATTTGAACGGTTCTATTGAACTGTACTACACAGCACACCTTCAAAACTATCAAGCACAATCTGACCCAGGCCCAACAGTTATTTACATCTTTAACGACTCGGTCCAAGACTATGAGGAGGCAGCAGGAGGTGCATCGGAGCCTGTTGCCTGTTCCTCTCTCAGTCTGCGTTTCATTAGTTTCTTCTTCTTCTTCTCTTCCTTTTCTATTTCAGCAACCATTTCCAAGAACTTGGGGCTGCGGGGGTCCACTGCATAGCCAAAACGCTCTCTGGCCTCAGCCAGCAACCTTATATGGCGAGCCTTTTCCTCCTTTAGCTTCTGTTTGGTTTCACGCTTTTCTCTGCGCCAGTCTGCTATCATCTTGGGCATTTTGGCCATGTTTGCGGCAATGAGCTTCTCTCTGCGGTGAAAATAGAAAAGATAGCAGATGTTAGTGCTGTCCATCATACTGGCTGGTAATTAACATTGATTTTGAGAGAAATGTCCTGGCGTGAATATCGTGGTTTTTACAGTAAATTTGGTACAAGCACTCATGTCAGAACAACTTAACATAACTTCCGATTCCAAAACACAACAGTCTCAAGTTGCTTCACACTGTAAGGTGAACGGTGCCCAACAATCAAGCACTTTGCAATGGTGGGAAGGAAAAACTCCCTCTAACAGGAAGAAGCCTCCGACAGAAACAAAGGAAAAAACTGCAATCATCCATCTCAAGACAGCAAATGTTTTTAAAGGTTTTCTGACCAACTGTGCCATTTGCCTAAAGTAAATAATTAATGGTCCAAACTTTGAACACGTAGTATGACTGCTGTGAAATTTAGGTTCCTGTACTGAATACTTTTCAAGATCTACATCTTTTTTTTTTTTAAAAAGGTCTCTTTGCTAACCCTTCACACCATTTTTCCCTACATCTGATTCAATGTTTGAAGACGAATATCCTAAACACATTCACTCGCGCATTCACATCTGTGGACAATTTGGATTAATCAGTTAACCTATCCCCACAAGCTGCATGTCTTTGGACGGTGGGAGGAAGCCGGAGTACCCGGAGGGAACCCACGCAGACACGGGGAGAACATGCAAACTCAGGACCTTCTTGCTGTGCAGCAACAGTGCTAACCACCGTGCTGCGGTGTACCCCGCCTCTCGCCCTATGCCAGCTGGGATAGGCTCCAGCACCCCCTGCGACCCTGAAAAGTATAAGCGGAAGCAAATGGATGGATGGATATCCTAAACACTGTTAAAAGATAAAAGGCTGAACTTTTCATTGCCCTAAATCAGGGTCTTTAATCTCCGGTGTCTTCAGTGTCTGAATTTTAATTTAATTTAAAAAGAATCAAGTGTTCCTGCAAAGTCTAAATTTGAGCACACACTAATAAAAATATGCCATATTGCAAAAGACTATTTCTGAATCATATGTAGTTGTAATAAACAGTGTAACAAAGCATGCAGAATAGTTTAACGTAAAATTCTTAGTAAAAAAAATGAAGAAAATGGTATTTTCATGCTGGATGGAGCAGATATTAGTCATGCCACAAAAATATCAGTAGGTATTATTATCTGAACAGAACAAAATTTGAGTTTCCAGATGGTATTTTGATTTTAACTAAGATAAGAAATTTGTTCAGATTTTTCATTTTCAAGTCCTACTCTACCAATCATTTCAAGACCTAGTGCCCTGGAGCTGACTAATAATTCAGGTTTAGTTTGAAATGTACAAAGAGATATTAAAATGCAACAATGTAGCATTGTTATTTATGTATTACAATTGTTGCAACACTCATTTAGACAGTCAACACACCGACCGTCTGACCCCTGCTTGCCTGCAGCAGTCGTGACATTAGGTTAGCATCTTGTGTCAGATTACCAGTTCGGCCATTTAGACACCACAGCTTGACCTCGCAAGACTACTCCTGTGAAATCATCCTGTTTGCATGACTCGTTTAATACATAAAAATAAATGTAGACAAAGTTTTTACACTGCCACCTGAATTAGACTCCTGCAGGGCAGTAGCTCTCAAAAATGAAACGTATACATATATTTAAGAAATTATGTTCTCAGTTATAATTACAGTACCATCTGGAAACTCCAGTATTTCATTCTTTCAGTTTTGTTTTCTTTTTTCATATTTTAACTAGTCAACACTCAAACATTTTTGATGTATCTACCCTAAACTAGAAATCCTAATTCAATTTAATGTTAAGGAAAGACCAGTGAAAATGCTGAGTTTTTAACTTTAATCGTTTTTGGAGATATTGATGTCCAAATATGGCCTAAAATTTCAAGGACTGAAAAAAAACATCTGAAAGTCAATATACAAGTTCAAATTTAGCCATAACATTTTTATGCAAATCAGAAATGGTCGAGCAGAAGGCCGGTGCTGTCAGTACGCTCCTGCAGTGTTTTAGATTAACTGAAGGCTTTCAAGGGAACTTTTTAGAACAACCTGATAATAATAAATTAATTTGTCCAACCTAAAAGTAACAAATGCGTAAACTAGTTTTTCAGCATCACTCTCAGACAGGATGTTTCTAATTTTAGAGATACTGCACAGATGAAAGAAAGCAGTTCTACACATTTGTTTAATATGTGTGTTGAAGGACGTGTCCTGGTCAAACTGACTGCAAGATTCCTCACAGTGTTACGGGAGGCCAAGGTAATGCCATCCATGGTATCTGGATATACACCAAATACAGTGATTAATCTTAAGGTTAGCCCATCAAAATAAAACTTTTTCAAAAACCCTGAAAAGCAAAACAACAACAACACAAACACAAACATCAGCTTCAGATCAACTTTGTCTGACATACTAGTTTCAAGGGAAGCGGCAACGGTAAACAACGGACCTGTGGACATACTCCAAAGCAATAAGCTAATAAAACGATGCCTAAGCTCTAAGCTTAAGTAGCTTTCTTTTTACCTGGCTAAATCACCATGGTAACTTGTGCTGAAAACATAACTTGGTCCAGAACAGTTTATGTTTGGAGTGTGTGTTTAAAATCAGCTGGAAGCGCCACGTTTTCACCATTTATTAAGTCTACAGTCTGTTTTGTGTGCGATACAGGTCCTCTCCTCCGCTTTGCACATGCAAACTGTCGAGCTGTCCCCTCCCAACACTGCTGAATGAAGCCCAGCTGCAACGTTAAAGCAGTGCAAACTGTGTTATTGTCACTGGAATTTGCTTTTATGTTTGATCCCTCTGTAGTTCCAGCAGTCTTTTGCACAGCTGGAACTACAGCGACTCGGACACAGATTAGAAAACTGATCAGTTACATTTGCCATCCATCACCAAGAATGCCAATTAAATTGATCTGGAGACTAAACTTCCACATGTCCTTAATTAAGCTATGGGACTGTTTAATGTTCACTAATTCCTCTCAGTGTGTCTCTAACTGAAATAAGAGGCACTCGACTGATTCAATTTGTCTGGAGGAAGAGCCAGATGTTGTGTCACAGTCTCCAACTCCATCCAGGAGTTTTGTTAAACCAGCTAACGCAAAGAAAGCCGTCAATGAAGAAGGAGTTTTGGATCAAACTGTTTCACTTTTCTGAAAGTGAGAAGTGTAAAGCTGTATTTGTGTTAACATAATGGCAGCTTTTTCCTCCATATTGCATGAATGGAACAGAGAATGGGAATAAAGGGCTTTGTGCCGGGGGTCAGCTCGTCAGCAAACGTTTGAAGAAGAAAAACTGAAACTCCATCTGGCCCACTGGTCTTATTAAAGTGCAACTTTAAGAAGGAAAACAAAAACTTGGCCACAATACTTGGATATCACAGCTACACTTCAGAAAACCAACTGCGGACTTTAATCCATCACACAAATCTAAATGAGTTTAAAAGTATTACAGTTTCAAGAAGTTTGTCCTTAGAGATAAATGTAATTGTTGATTCAGCTGTGGTACACTACAAACTGGTCACGTAAGCCCAGAAACCATCAGTAAAGTGTTTCGAGAAGTCAAGACAGAAAGGCCTTCATCCATAGACTTGTACGGGACCAGAAGTCAATGTAAAGCCATACGTATCACCATCTGGTGGCCATTCAAAAGAATACACGTTAAAGGTTATTACACTTTGGCTTCACGCTCTTGAAGCTACGCTCGTCTTTTATTACTGTCTATGGTTTATACTCATGATGACATCAGAATGCCTGGGTGCAGGTGCTGCTATGCTTAGCTGAGGTCAGTTCACAGCTGATACCACCACAGCAAATTCAAGGAATGAGACTTGAGCATTTCTTGGAACATCTAGGACTACACTGATTAGACTGGACCTAAAAGATGGATGGTGATGTTTCACATTGGTTAGTGAGGTCATTTTGAAGCCCTGAGCTGAGTGTTTGTGCTGTTGCCGTTTTGAAACCACATCTGATGAGTGAGGCGTTGATCTGTGTTACACTGTGGGACTCTGCAGGTTCGCAGTGTGACAACACAATCACGAGGTATACCCGCTGATGGTGCTAAATGAACAACATGTTTCCCACAGGCTTCTATACCTATGCACATATTTTCCAAACAAAGGAGTCACCCCTGGAAAAAAAAAAGTTTACTTCACTTCTCAAACTTGGAAGCTTCGTGCATCTTTAGTTTACAGTCTATGGTAGGGCTGCTCAATTAATCGAATTTTAATCACGATTACGATCTGGGCTTTCAACGATCATTAAAAATGACTGAGCCGATTATTAGCCCCTCCCTTGTGCTTTACTCTCCCGCTGCTCCATGTGGCAAATCGAGCGCACCTCTCTGCATTTCGAACAACCTTTTTTTGCGCCACGGACCGGTTTATGCCCGACAATATTTTCATGGCCTTTAAGGTGTCGCGGATAAATACAACAAAATAAAACTAGTACCGGTACCGAAAAAAAAAGATTTATTCATAACACACATGAAAAGACCCAGGAAAACCGAGTAAACGATAAAAGCGATAACAAAATAACGCTGAAAACCGATAAAAACCTGAAAACTATACATTTCACACCTGAGCCTCAACTCTCGCGGCCCGGTACCAAACGACTCACGGACCGGTACCGGTCCGAGGCCCGGGGGTTGGGGACTGCTGATTCAGAGGACCCGAGGGAAGCTCGGAAAGCTCAGCAGAAGTTATTTGGAGAGGAGAGTGACGGCTGTTGGTTGAAAAAGGTAAAAAAACTTCAGTGGTGTGGAAACATTATGGGTTCAGTCAGACGTGGATCAAGTAGACACAGTGTGTAAACGTTGCTACAGTGTCATAACTGCACCACAGAGCAACACTGCAAAGTTCACTAAACACAGATGTTTACATTTTTCATTGATTTTTTATATTGCAAACATTTGCACTGTTATCAGTATTTGCACTGCTTTATATTATTTTTTGACAATCTTTAAAGTCATTATTCAACACATTGTTATTGTTAAATAAATATCGTCAAATAATCGAGATCTCAATGTCAGTGAAAATAATCGTGATCATCATTTTTGCCATAATCGAGCAGCCCTAGTCTATGGTATCAACTCTGGGGAAGTTTCTTAAGATATGTTCAAGCTAGTGACTCTCATTATAATTATAACATACCTGTCTGTTTTAACAAGGATGGTTGTGTACATTTAAAGCTTCCTTGAGTCTCATGAAAGACATCTCGATCTCTGATTAACCAAAGTACGCCATCATCCATGCAGAGAACTAGAAAGCTAAAAGCCTTTTCCAGTCTGTGACTAAGCTAAAAGCTCAATGTGCAAGACAAGAACATGACAAAAGGCGTGGAATATGTTGTAAAATGAAAACATTAAGTCATTAAGCACATTTTCATATTAAAGTAACTAGTTCACAAACAGGGTCTCCGCTATGTGATCCAACAAAGAAACAAACTGGATGTGATCCAAGAAGTGCGGCCAAGGTTTTTTTTTAAAAAGTTGCACTCTAATGAGACCAGTGGGCCAGATGGTGTTTCAGTTTCTTCTTCTTTAAACATTTGCTGACGAGCTGACCCCGGCATGGAGCCCTTTATTCCCATTCTCTGTTGATATGTGCTGCATTCATACAATATGGAGGAAAAAGCTGCCGTTACTACAGCTCCAAAAAAAATAAAAATAATATTTTTTTAAACTTGCCCACAGAAACAAGGGAAACAAGATCAAAGAAAACCAATCACGCCTCCGATTCTTCACAATTATCCATCTTCTTCTACTTATTTGGGCCCAGATCAGCAGCCGAAGCAGAGAAGCTCAGACCTCCCTCTTCCAGCTACCTCCTGTAGCGAATCCAGGAGCCATCCTTGTCACAATCCAGAATGACCTCAGCTGGCTTCTTTCAATGTGGAGTAGCGGCTCTACTCTGGGCCTCCCCTAAATGACCAAACCCCTCACCCCATCTCTAAGGGAGACATCAGCTTTCCCTTCAGAGAAAGCTCATTTCCACTGCTTGTATCCACAATCTCATTGTTTCGGTCACTACCCAAAGCTAGTGTGAGGATGTAGATCGACAGGTAAATCCACAGCTTAACTTTTAAGCTCAGCTCCACTCACCCCTCACACCTGAACACGACCATGAAATTGTTTAATTCCCCCAGTTGGGCCACTCCGAGTCCTCGACTGTAAAGATGGATGTTGAAGTCCACTCCTCAACTCGGAGTGGGAAGAACCATAGCCTCAGACTTGGAGGTGCTCATTCTCATTCCTGCCTTTTCACACTTTCAAAAGCTTATGCCACAGTTCTCATTTTACTAGCATGGTTTGGGTCATATGAGAAGGAAGGCCCTCCTGTGATGAAACGTGAAATTGACGTAAATCACACAGTTTGGCTTTTGCAGTGACTACAGGCCAGCACAGATGGAACGTTTTGGACTTCATTTCACCGCTAATAAAAAAAAAGACACCCATATCCATCTACTACAGCTGGAAGAAGGAGCACTGAAGGGTTTCTCACTACATGTGGAGCCCAAGCACCTTACTAAGGTTTTCTTTCAATGTCTCTTTAGGATGGTGGAAGACAGCTGGATTTGTCCACACATTTTCCTCTATACATTTAAAACCAGACCCTTTTCAATGGGTAACAATTCATTAGGCCCGCCACGCTCGTACAGAAGGGAACTAAAGCCTGCCACTCTACCTTCTTCAGTACACTTAAGATAAGCTTCTATTTTATTAGATACAATTTCTAATTCGATTTGATTTTACATTAGCTTATTTAAAAATCCTGCTTTAAAAAGTGCTCACTTTTAAAAGCTTGAAAGAGAGCACTATGAAAACGTGTTGCTAGTTACTCTGTAAACGTGTTTGACAGAATGACAAACACTGGTGAGGACGTTGTCCGATAATGGACGCACTGACGTTAGCCATGTAGCCTTACCTCGCCAGCCGTTTTTCGCTCTCCTCCTTCTCCCTGGCTTCTATGTTCTTCAGCATCACCTCTATCGGGGGATGCCACTGGGTTTCCTCCGCAATAATCTTCTCCAGCTCCTCATGTGTGGGCCACAGAGATGCAGGATCGATGCCCGACACAGAGCCATACCGACCGAACAGCTTCTTATCGTAGCGGGCTGTCTTCTGCCATTCCGGCGTCTTCTCGCTGTCCTTGTCCGGGATGTACGGGTTCCGGAGGTTCAGCTTTAGAGGTTTGGGATTATAGGACGCTGTTTGTGATAAAGATCCACACGGAGAGTTTACAGAAAGCACAGCTTTACAAGATGAGAAGTCCTTTAAAGTCCTACATAAGGCAGCCGTCCTCCTGCACAGCATGGACGCCGCCATGTTTCTTCGAACACAAGAAGGACCCGGAGTGAAGTCATAGATGCCTACCGCAGTGCCTGTTCAATGCGACAGATGACCGTTCCGTGTGGTTTTTACATTCTTAATGTGACAGTAGTTTATTTTTGTATGCAGTTTATTTTTATAACGTGCCATTACATAAAGGAAAAGATAGCAGCACCAAATATATTTCCAAGATATTTTAGGACACAAATATAGTTTAAACGCATACACTCCAGGACACGTTATGACGTAAGTAAACGTCGTGAAAAGTGTTAGAAGCATTAATTAGCAAGAAAATTCCTTTATTGTTAAATTATTGTTGTTTTAAAGCCAAATTCCAGCTTAAAACCTTTACTTTATATGACTTTATAGCTGCTAATTAAAACCGGTGCGTTGAGAATTGTAATGGGCAGTCTTCGCTGTTATCTATTTCACATAAAAAGATCAATTAGGCTTGTAAGTGGTAAATTATTGTCGCTTGCAGATGATGTGCAATGTGTAATAGATGTTAGTTTATTAATTAGTGGTACATTTCATGTACACAGGTCGAATTTATGAATTTAAAAAAATGTTCACTTCAGGCAGTGATCAGTTTAATTCAGTTCAATTCAGTTTTATTTATACAGCGCCAAATCACAACAACAGTCGCCTCAAGACGCTTTATATTGTAAGTTGGACCCTACAATAATACACACAGAGAAAAAGGTTTAACACTGGGGTAATGTAAAAAAAAACAACTCTCTTTTATTTTGCAGAAAATGTGTACGCCACAAGAATTTTGTTTTCTCTTTTGTGCTGTTTCAAGTTATCTGTTTAAATAAACACCACGATACATACATGCATATTATAGTCATTTAAGTGTTCCAAATAATCATTAAAATCTGAGAAAAGTGTTGAAAACTATTTGACTAAATAAATAATTATAAATTATTCCCGCTCTATGTCTCTGAGAAATCTCTGTCAGCTGTGTTACCCACTGACAAAACCCCCAGAGTTCAACAATAGTTTGCCCCAATAATTATGATTATGATGATAATGACACTTATAATTACGATTATACAGAAATTATATGGTAAATATGAAAAAGTGCATTTACATAGTAATTACATTAAACCATGCGATTTTGTGATAGCATTAAGGGAGGATTAATGCAACTGATCTAAACACTATTGTGTTATAAATTATACTGAATACATAATTAATCTTATTAAAGAAGTATTTGCTTTTCAGCATCATCTGTATCATCTTCAGTAACACTCGCGTCAAAAGGAAGCAGGGCTCATTTTGATGTGGCTCAGCGGTTTGAAAGAGTTCCTGCTGACATTTGTGTAATTTGATCCTCAGCGATTAAAGCTGGAAAACTGCAAAGCACTCCTTTAAATCTTTACACTGGTGATGTTGCAGCTGCAGTGTTACATACACTGTTATTAAACAGATGTTTGATGTTTTAGGGAGATGAGCATCTGGTGCAGCTGATTCTGAGAGTAGGAATTCATATTTATGGAAGCATGAAGAGAAAATAAAATGTCTTTAAGTTCAATGAAAGCTGGCCTTTTTCTCCCCCTAATTCTAGAGACGGAAGTCTTACATAAGGACGCGGAATATCTCTAAATTCAGTGTGGTGGATTTATGTGGGGGAAAAGAAAATCCATTATGATTATTCACATTTTCAAATAAGTTTAACAGAAAACCATAAAGCTTTTAACCACGTGTGTGTGTGTGTGTGTGTGTGTGTGTGTGTGTGTGTGTGTGTGTGTGATATTTCATGTATATCTTCTATGACATGTCAAAATAATGAATTGAATGTTTATTTTCATTGAAAGATTTTGTAAGTCGTTAGAGCTTAAGCTTGGCAGTTCATGGATTTTGCACACTGCTGGGGTGTGATGGGGAAACAGTTTGATAAATTAATAGAAAGGAGCGCTGATTCAGTTCGATCCAATACCAAGTAAATACATGGCCGGTATTGCCAATATCAGTACCAATGATTTTAAGTTATTCAGGCAGCTAATGTGGGGGACAGTAGTGTGCCATGTCTTGATGAATTCTGAATTTGCAAATTCTGAACATATTTTAAACACCACTACATCACTGTGATTGTTATTTTCCACGATAATTAGTTAGCACAACAAAAACACACCTTTGAGCTTTTCATATGTTTTACAGCTGGGTTTCTGGATACCTTGAATGTAAATCTTTCTGTCTATAAACTAAAGCACACAATAAGGTTCGGACATTTTTCATAGTGCATGTTTGAGGTTTAGTTTCTCCAAAGAAATAATTAATACTGAACTTGGAGGATAAAAGCAAAGTATTGTTCCCATACCAACACTAGCGTTGGTATCAATACTGTCGATATTTGGATCGATCCGCCCACATCGATGCTTCTGATCACCTTTATATCATATAATGACACTATTCTTTCCTAATGGGAGCAGTCTCTTTCAGGATGACAATGACCCCATCTGTGGAGCACAAGCAGTCACAGATTGGTTTGATGAGCATGAAAAGGATCTAAAAGTCAAGTATTCCACGACCTTTGCCGTCACCAGTTTTTAACCTTCCTGAACAAAAGAGTGAATGTAATTTCAAAATATAGTGTTCATCCCATCAGCAGAGTTTAGAGAGTCCGTGCCACGCTGCTTTGACAGCATGTGCTGGCCCAAAGCTTCCTTTATGTGTTCTTTTTTCCTTAATCCCAATTCTTTATCTATCTGTAGAATGATGCTCTTTCTCCTTCTGTTTGGCATGGTTTGCTTCTTATATTTCATAATAAATAACTTCACTTAGATTCAGTGGTAGTGGGTGACTAAAGGTCAAAGCGTTCAAAGCCTTTTGAAGTTACATCGACTCTTACAGATTTATATTTAGAGGTGTGTGGTCCCCGTTGACTTGGAAACAGTTGTAAGCAGGTGGGCTGCTGCCAGAGCTCCAGTGCAAGAAGGGAAGCTGAAACGTTTTTAACACCTTCTTTGAACATGTTGGGACTACTGGGGCAGGGGAGTAAACCGCCGAAAGAAAGGATCTTTGTTTTAACCCCCTTAACTCCACCTCCTCTTTCCTCTTTTAGCAGCCTCCGCCCTCCTGCAACTTTTATATTTGATTTATTTTCAAGAAGCGAGGATAGAACAAATGGGGTTGCTCTGGAGTGCGGCACTTACAGAGACAGATGTCATCGCTTTTGTATCGTGGGAGCGCGCAGAGCTCTCCGTCGTCATTAAAGATTTAGGGTTCCCATGGCAGGGGTAGCACTAGACTGAAGGTGGGGGTGGGCATGACAGAGGCTTAATTTGGCTTAGAAGCAATCTGGTGCCAAGCTCGAGGCTTTAGGGATCACATCAACGTCAGTCACAGGCAAATAGGCTTGTTAGCAGTTAGACGATAAGGGGATGGTTCTATTTTTGAGTGAGTATGTGAGTAGGAGGGATGGCTGTGTGCTAATACATGTTTGGGGAACTTATATAAAACACGCTCACCTGCATTATTAGCTCAGCAATAGATGCATTTAGTTTCTGTTGAGCAGCGCGTTTGTTTTTAGTCTTCAGTAGCACAAAGTGCTGCAAGGTTCTGGTGCATCCCTGAAGTTCAACTGTAACTCAGTGGGTGTTTTCCAACTATTTTATAAGCTAAATAAATGATCTAAGTTTGAGACAATGATGGACACATCATACAAAACCCTACATCTATTTTGTCAGTGCGTGGTACCCTTAACTAAACTAAAGACCTATATGCTTGGAGTCCTACATCACAAAAATAGATGGACGCTGACTAAATAACCAAGCTTATGTTGTCTGATGTGGAGAAATTTCACAGTAAATAAAATATTGTATGATGTGAGAATGATGCTGTTAAACTATGTAAAACAATACATACAAAAATAAAAATGTTATCACAGTTAGTGTTAATAATCTAATAATCTAGATATTTGGGATGCTGGTGTTTGTTTGACTGTTTGATGCCATTTCCTGCTGCTGCTCTCCCGAAGTCCAGGTTAGGATTAGAGATAAGGTTAGCACATATGATCACTTACACGTCAGCGGGTTATTCACAGGGTAAAATAATCCTTATGCATCTTCTACTGGGCCTTGCTTTTTGATCCTCTCACTCTAAAGTCACAGCATCACGGAAAAGCAGGGGAAGCATAAAATGAAGGAAAGAACTTAGTGGGACACTTAGCTAAACGTTTTAATATGTCTACAAAGTCTGCAGTTAACTTAGAGGAACTCTGATTTTAGTGACCTTACTTCACTCATTTAATCCAGTTATTAGAGTTTATGATTTTATAAGTGGTGCCTCTGTGCAGCTGTGGTTTGGTTTTCTTAGCAGGATACCAAGAAGCTATTGTGTTTTTCTGAACTTCCTAATAAGCTGCACAAAAAAGTGGATCACATTACTTGGTTCCCACATGTGATTTACTTAACCAGTAATTACTGATGGATTTTCTTTGTGCTAACAGGCATATAAAACCAGATCCGAACCATCACTACTACAGTGATACACTAATACACCCAAAAAATGTGAACCGTCAAACAGCAATTTAAAGGATCAGAATGAGGACCAGAAGTCTTTATGTGCAGTCAGAAGTCAAACTGTGTTCGTACAGATGAACTTTATGCCTGAGGAAAATCAGCTCATCCCTAGATTAATTCAGTGAAAATGAAATAAATGAAATATCAATAGATATAAAATTGCCTGTGGAAAGACTGATCTGATCCTTTACCCAAATATTTTCATGGATTTAAAACGAGAATTTGACTCCATCCATTTAGAGTCCATTTCTTCTGGATCATTCCTGTGTGGACTTGCTGTGTGCCGATCATTATCCTGCTTAAAGGTCCACTTTGGGTTTAACTTCAGCTTTAGAACAGGTGCCACACAGTAACTTGAAGCACAGTTTGATATGACGTGCAGATTTCTTAGTTGAATCCAATCCCTCTTCTCCCTCCTTCGTAGCTTTTACGTCCGTGCTTTCCTGCCGCCTGAAATGCAAGCTGAGCAGGCGAGGAAAGGCGAGGGTGAGAGAGGAGTCGAGACAGCAGACATTAAAACGTA